GCCCTCAACATATCCTCAAGTGTCTAAATGGTCCGCTCTCTCTGGCTATCAGTCTGCAGATGATAAGCAGTGCTAAAATGCAACCTCATACCCAGTTCCTCATGAAACCTCTTCCAAAATCAAGAAGTGAACTGAACATCTTGATCTGATACAATGGAAATTGGAACACCATGTCGAGCGATGATCACACGTGCATACACATCAGATAATTTATCGGCCGAGGAGCTCTCCCAAATAGCTAAAAAGTGGGCACTCTTGGTCAAACGGTCCACTATAACCCATATCACATCAAATCCCTTAGCCGTCTGAGGTATCTTGGTGATGAAATCCATGCTGATATGTTCCCATTTCCACATGGGAACCTCTAAAGGCTAAAGCTTTCCATGTGACCTATGATGCTCGACCATGACCATCCGATGAGTCAAGCACTTCTCAACATACCAGGTTATCTCCCTCTTCATACACGACCAACAATAACTAAGTCTCAAATCCCAATACATCTTGGTGGCTCCATGGTGTATCGAAAATATGGACTTATGTGCTTCCTCCAACATAGTCTTTCTTATCAAAGGCCATCGGTAGAAAACCTATCAATCTTACCACTGATTCGCTCCTTCTTCCAATTCTCCTTCTTAAATCCCTTAGCCTAAGCCTCCCTAATTAAATCCATAAGTAGTGAATCAATCGAAATCCTCATACATAATCTCCCAACAAAAAATAGCCAACTTGCGGATCAAGGCATTAGCGACCACATTCGCTTTCCACAGGTGATTAAGAATCTCGCAGTCATAATCCTTGACCACCTCAAGCCATGTACCGAAAACTCTTGTGGTCAATGTAAATGGTACATTGGACCCCATATAGATAATGCTGCGAAATCTTTAGGGAAAACACCATGGCCCCCAACTCACAATCATGTGTCGGATATCGAACCTCATGTGGCTTTAGGTGCCTAGAAGCATATGCAATAATTCCCTCGCAACATAAGCACGACCCCCAAACCGTACAAAGAAGCATCACAATATATAACAAAATCCTCAACACCCTCAGGGAGGGTCAACACTAGGGTCTTACATAACTTTTGTCTCAGTGTCTCGAATGCGCCTACTGCTTAGGCCTCCAAAAAAAATTCACGCCCTTCTTCATCAGGCGTGTAAGGGTACAAAAACTTGAAGAAATCTTGAATAAATCTCCAATAATACCCTACTAAACCCAAAAAACTCCTGACCTCCGAGGGAAACTTCGGGACCTCCCACTGCATAACCGCCTCAATCTTGGCCAGGTCGACCAAAATCTCGTTCTGGTTAACGAGGTGTCCTAAGAACTGGACCTCTCGTAACCAGAACTCACACTTCGAGAACTTGGTATATAGTCGTTCCTGCCTCAAAACTCCCAGAAGCTCGCTAAGGTGCTCTTCATGTTGATCCCTAGTCTTGGAATAGACTAGGATATCATCAATGAAAACAATAATTGATCGATCGAGCATCGATCTGCATACTCGATTCATCAAATCCATAAATGTCTTAGGCGCATTGGTGAGGCCAAACGATATCACCACGAACTCGTAATGACAATAACAAGTCTGATATGTTGTCATCTCCATGTACTCCTTTCTAACCCTCATCTAATGATACCCTGACCTTAATCGATCTTGGAGAACCAAGATGCACTCTACTACTGATCAAAAAAGTAATCAATCTATGGAAGTAGGTAACGGTTCTTCACTGTTAACTTGTTCAACTCTTGATAATCAATAGACATGCGGTGGGACCCATCATTCTTCTTCACAAATAAGATTGGCACTCCCTAAGGTGAGCTGCTTGGTCTAATAAATTTCTTGCCCAATAGCTCTTAAAGCCGAGAGGACAACTCTTGCATCTCCGGTGGTGCTAATCAGTATGATACCTTAACAATCGGGGCCGCACCCGGGACCAAATGAATCATGAACTCAACCTGCCTCTCAGGAGGCACATTGGGTAACTCATCCGAAAACACATTTGGGAACTCTCTGGCTACGGGTACATTGGAAACTGAAGTCTCCTTCCCAACCCAAGTGTCAACAATATACGCAATGTAACCCATACACCCATGCTACAGATACTGTCGAGCCCTGGGAGTAGAACAAAAGGCTAATTCAACTCTGGTACCCTCTCCATAAATAATATGTTCTCCCCCACTTGGGGTTCGAATTACCACCCGTTGACCCTCATAGTCGATTATCACACCAAACATGCTTAACCACTATATCCTTACTATCATGCACACATCCCCCATAAGGATAGGGATCATATCAATCAGATAAGACACCCCGAAATCTCCAAGGTACAATCCAGAAAAAACGCTCAATGCAAAAACACTGTGTTTGTTAGTGATGGAAAGCCACAACGGACACTCCGACTTTCCAAGAGTCATATGAAAATTCTAGATAACATTTTTGAAAACTCCTTACTTTCTTGGTCGAACACAATTTCATTAAGGGGAGGTTAAAGAAAGGCTTTTGATGTTGTGGTTTTCACATATTTTTGGTGTCTTTGGAATTTTTGATATTTCACTCTTTTTGGACCGGTTTTATCTAGGAAATCTCTTCTTCTTGATAATGTCATAGATAAGACATATTATTGGATTTCCAATAGGTTTAGTAAAGTCAAGATTTCTTAGACTACTTAGCTTCATAACCCTACGTTAGCTTCTATACTGTTGTAATGGGTTGGTTCTATCTTTTCGTTAGTTTTTATAATATATTTGTCGTTCCAAAAAAATATGTAATGACATAGACATTCACAATAAAATGCTCTAGGTACCATATATCCCAATCAGAACTAGAATAAAAGTTCAAATAAATTATATATAACATATATATTATTATTATTGTAATTTTAAATATTTGATAATCCTTATATATGAAAATTCGAAAATCCTACCTGGATTCAAATCCGAAAAACCGGATATCCGAATATCCAAAATTTTAGGATAATTTTAGTTCGGATTTTGGATTCGGGTATTTTTTTTTAAAGTATAATGCCAAAGTAACAAAAGTTTTGGGTATTTACAAATATGACCAACAATTCTCAAATGTCCCATTTCACACTAAAATAAAATCAAAGCATGTGTTTTTTACCAAGAAGGGACCTAAAGTGTTCCACGCTTTAACTCTTATTGAGTTTTTTTTAAAGAAAAAAATGGAGCAGAAGGAAATGGAAGGGGAAAGAAATAAAAGTTTCATTTCCTTCGGTTTCCTAGAAGGAAAGATTTGATAAATAATAATAATAATAATAATAAGTCTTCTCTTTCCCTCTCTCACTCAATTTCATTTCATTTCCATCCTTATATGAAATTTAGAACACATTTATGTTCCTTTCCTTTCCTTCCCCTAAAAACTCAAGAACAATTATTTCCTTCCCTTCTCCTCCTTAAAAAAAACTCTCAAGAACACACATTTCATCCCATTTCATTCCATTTCCGTCCTTAAAAAACTCAAGAACATGATGAAAGTTTTTCATACTTGGTGTCTTAATTTTTTTTCCCATCATATATATTGGTTAAGGTTTTGACAAACTTATCTCACGCACCACATATACATTTATCTTAAGGAAAAAAAATTGTTGTTAGAAATGAGTTCATCTAACTTTTTTTTTAAGAAAGTTTTTATAGCCTTCCTGTCAATTGTTATAATCTAGAAAAGGTTAATAATCTCTAAACATTTACTCATATCAAGAAAATGACTCTGATGGGTTTGAGTTCTTATTTGTTGCCATGAATTTCATTGTAAGGTTAATTTTAAATACAACACTAGTTTTATTAATATTTTTGTCGTTGATGAACCAATAATTTGTAGATTTGGGTGTTTCAATACTTCATGTGGCCCCTGATGTTCATACATAGTACACCCCTAAAGGGGAATTATTTAGGAAACATGTTTATAACGCTGTCCATGGAAAGAAACCACCCAATCATTCTCCTAGCCAAATGAGTGGGTAAAATAGACTCTCGAGAATCGTGGCCTTAATTTTTAATGAGGTTAAATAAATGTTTGACAAATGACAATATTGGGTCATTATAAATTGGTGATTGTATGCTTCCATAGCATGCATTATAATATGATCACCTCTAATACCATCTATTCCATTTACGCATGATCGATAGATGAACGAAATGTAATTATAATGATGTCATCGAGGTTTATACATAACACGATGCAATGCTGGTATTGTCCATGCAAAGATGGTGGAAATAAATATATAAACGTCAACAATCAACATATAACTATTTTAGCATTTATGAGGAGAATCATAGTATCTATTGCATCATGAATTTATGATGAAATCAGGTCTTGTGTTTCGAAGGAGGATATTCAAATGTGTACCTTATAAGGTAATACCCTATTGAGAATAAATCTTTAAAGTACATGATTACATGAAATGAAAATTGATATTGTCAATCTACATGATATTACTCATATATGTAATAAATTGCTATGCTCTTGTATACCTTGTGCTCATGCAATAGCGAAATCACTAGTGTTTACACACTTTCACCACTTTGTGAATGTTGTAGAGTTAACCTATGAGAGGTTTTTAAAAAGTAATCGTTGATACGCTATAATAAGAGGGTGTTTGTTTTTAAGTATGGTCTTTAAAAGTCACAAAATTTTATGGAACAACGGAAATTGCAACTGCTGATAAACCAAATGATGAAAATGTATTACAAGTGGAACTTTCTCGTTAACTAATTTATGTGTTCTTGTTTTAATTTGGAATCTTCGGTTACAAATAAAACATAGATATTATATAAATTAGTAAGAAAATCGTTGTATACATTTGATTAAAAAAATAGATATAAATTCATTGAAATTGTTGAGAGAGAGAGAGTGAACAAGATAGGTTGGTTGCTAAATAGATATAATCATAAAAATAACTACCGAGTTATGTACACTACACCACAATACACAGGTAACAACCAACTACCCTTGAATTTAATTTAAACCCTCTAAATAAATAAATCACAATAAAAAAGGTAAACCAAAAATTAATATCTGAGTAAAAAAAAGGGAAAAAAAAAAAAAAAGGAGCCATGGAAAAGAACCATCTCTGTTGGTAAATAGCATTTTAGTACTGGCTTGGTGTACCTAGAGATTCCCCTGACCTTCGGGCAGTCTGGGCAGCAGATACTGATGACTTATCCGACCCACCTCGCACATTATATCTCTCATAAACCTTTTCACGGTTTTCCGACCACCATGTCTCCGCTTGGTGCTCCCCAAATCTCCTACGACTGCACATTCATACAACCAATTTTAAGTATGTCACCTTCTACTGTGTTTGGACTGAGACAGAGACTGATATCGATAGCACAAAAAAAATACAAATTTTTGTCCCACCCAAAAAGGTGGGACACGAACTTACTTTCGATCTCTCGTCGCGCAAAAGACATAAATACCCTCCTCGTCCTCATCATGAAAAACAACCTTTGAAAAGTTTGTTAGGTCCATCCTATCCAATCCAATCATGTCCCGTGTAACGGGACATGATACGAGTAAACTGGGCGGGACAGACCTGACAAACTTTTCAAGGGTTGTTTTTCATAATAAGGACGAGGAGGGTATTTACGTCTTTTGCGCGACGAGAGAGCGAAAGTAAGTTTGGGTCCCACCTTTTTGGGTGGGACAAAAATTTGCATTTTTGTGTCCTATCGACATCGGTCTCCATCTCAATCCAATGCATGACAAACACAGTACAACCTGTTTTATTAAATGGGTAGTACCTGAAGCGGACTCTTTTGAGATCACGGGTCCCATCACGTAGAGCTACAAGTGTAATGTACACACCAGGCTCATATTGCTCGATCCATTCGGCCTCAACTTGATCAGTGGCATTATAGGTATTATTATTATTATTGTTGTTGTTGTTGTTGTTGTGGTTGTTATTGTTACTATTGGAAGCTGGATTTCTAGATTTGAAGCCGTTATTTTCTGCTTCTTTAGAAGGAGGCGCATGATCCGGCAAATATTTGTTCCCCATTTCCACAACTGCCCCTGTGGTGCCATTAAGAGATCTGGCATCCGAATCGCCATCATTCCCGTTAGATGTCCGTATAGATTCAGTGAATCCAGCGAATGTTTCAGTGGGTCCCGATGTTTCATTTATAGAAGATGACATGTCCATTGGAGTTATTAATTGATTTTCTCCACTTGTATCAGAATTGTGAAGCATGGAATTCGAGTCCAGACCATTTGGTAACTTAATGTTGTCAAGGTCATAGGATCCAGGTGGCAATCTCTCTGCCATATCTTTAAGCTGCAATATATAATAACAAATTTAATCATAAAAAACTATTTTTTTTTAATTAACTGTAAGAAAATACCTGTGATGTAAGAGACTTTATCACGTCTTTAGCAGCATTACATTTAGCAGATTCCTCCGCAGCCAATACCATTGCTTCCTGAGATTGTTTTCTTGATTTTTGAAGTTCTGCTTCTTGAATTTCACATTGATGTCTGAGGCTATCAACCTGAACAAGATTCATAAAAAGTAAAAAACAAAAAACATTGTAATTTAACAAAACTTTAAGAATCTACCTGCCCACGTAATTTAAGAACTTCTTGATTCAACAAATCATTAGTCCTCTTCAAACTATCCGCCACATTTTTCGAGAAAGAAAGCCCCGATGTAGTAGGAACCGGTGTCGCCGATCTCGGAGGACTCGATTTCCTCGAGAACGGTGAAACCGCCCTCGAATTAACACCCGACTGAGTCACAATCGGCCTCGGAACCGCATACCGGAAATCCCCACCGCCACCACCACCCGCCTGAGAAGACCGCCCTACCGGAAACGCCTCCGCCTTTCTCCCTTGGCGGGCCGCTTTAGTATCCAACAACTTAATCAAATCATGATTCGAAGGCAACCCCGACTTTGCTAATCTCATATCCGATTTATCCAATCTATCCTTGTTATCCCCCGACAACCGTGGCATCACATTTCGTCTACTCCCTACGCCCGCTTCCGCCATTTTACTCAATTTAACAAAACACGAATCGCACACGCGATGCGGTTTGCTCGGGTTCGGTGCTAAAGCGGCGCGTAACGCTTTTCTCGAGCTACACGAATGGCAATGAACGAGCCCGCAGTTATAGCAATTATGTCGCTTTCTAGTGAACCCGAACGCTTGTCTACACGATGAACACTGCGACTGCTCGGTCCCCGAAACCCATTTGTGTAGACAAATGGAAGCAGTGTAATTCGACCCGCAAGATATAAACTTCACGTGTCGGTCTTTTAACGATTCGACTAAAGTCGGGGTTTTTCGGTCTTCGATGTCTCCGTGCCCTAACCGCCCGTTCGCCCCTTTTCCCCATGTGTAGACTTCATTTCGGGAAGTTAAAACCGCAACATGGTAGGCCCCACACGCGATTTCGTCAACGGGCTCACCGGATAGTTTGTCTTCTACTAAACACGGGAGCTTTCCGTCACATTGAGGGTTCCCGAGCTGCCCGTAGACTGTGCTCCCCATTGTGAAAACGTGACGGGAGGTGGTCAACCCTACGGTCAAACTATGTCCACATGCGACTTTGTGGAAATTGTAATCGATTAACGATGGGACACATGTCGGTTTAAGACGCGGTTCTCGGTCACCGTGACCTAACCGGTTTTTATCCCCGTCGCCCCATGTGAAGAGTTTCCCGGAGGAAACCCCGGTGCTCGACCGTGTCACGATTACTTCGACTACCGCGGCGGTGTGCCATACGCCACACGCGACCGCGATAGTTCGTAACCCTAATAACGATTCGACCTCTCTCGGGCAGGGGACGTGTTCTCGGTCACCGTGACCGAGAACACCGAATGTCCCGTCACCGAAGGTGAACAGCTGCCCGGTGGAGGTAATCAAAGCGGTGTGCCACGGCCCGCAGGTAACCGACGCGATTTTAAGCCCTTCGAGAGGGTGACCGATTCGTTTCGGGATCCAATGGCTCACGTTTGTCCCGTGCCCGAGTAGCCCGGCGTTGTGGGTCCCGTCTCCCCACGTGTAAAGCTCGCCCGACATTGTAACCGCGCACGTGTGGAACTCGCCGCACGCGACAAAATCGATGTTGGAAACGGATAGTGATTCGAGTAAACGCGGTTGTGTCACGTCTTTTTGGAACCCGTGCCCGAGCCGCCCGCCCGATTCTTCGCCCCATGTGAAAACTTCGCCTTGGCGGGTGACAAGGGCAGCGTGGCGGACCCCACATGATATATGGTTTACATCTAGGACTAGGTTGGATTCTAAGGGTCGGGGTAAGAGGACATCTGCTCGAGTGGTTGAAGAATTAGGGTTTTTATCGGGGCCTAATTTGATGATGTTATTATTATCGCATATTACTTCGCCCCAAATGTACACGTCACCCAAAGCATCATAGTCATCTTGGGCTGACCCGTGACTGGATGTGCTTGGAGCACTTGAGACACTGACCCGAAAAGCATCCGACCCGAATCCTTTGACTTGGATGTTTGTTTGGTCAAACATTGTGGTTGACTTTTCGAAAGTAGAAGGATTTTGATAATTCATGGGAGAAGTGTTGGAATTAGAGCCGAATGATGCGTCTGGGGAGCTTAAATCTGGTGGAGCACTGATGGAATTGTCACTTGCACTGTTTGATGTTGAATCTTTATTTTCCTGTTTGTTTAACATTAAGTTAGTATAAAATAGCAAAAAAAAAAATAATAATAATCACAATTAATAATTAAAAAGAAAAATTACTTCAATGTTGAGACCTCCTTCACTCCATCCATCAATTTTGGAACGACCTCCTTGTCCAGAAATCAATGCTTTGAGGCCAGCTATCCACACTTCAGCTTCTACTTTATCCTTACAAATCTAAAAAAACAAATAATTAAAAAAAAAATGAAATTGTATTAGAAATTTAGATTTTAGAATTATTACTTACCAAATCAAGAGATCGTTTTCCGTTGTTGTATATGAGAGAAAATGAAAGATAGTCTTTTTCGGGGCGTAGGTAGCGTCTGAAAACAGCCTAGGGGCATATTTGTAAAAAGAAGTATTATGCGAAATATTTTAGATAATGAGATAACTATATGCAAGACATATAGAGGGGCATATTATGTAAATAATGATACAAGATTATAGATACTTACAGTTCGTTGTCCAGGGACAATTCTTGAGACTAAAGATAATTTTAGATTCCTTTCACCACTTGTGGAAATCCAAATTAAAGATGATTCATCCTGTGTGTATTTTTAGATATAAAGACATCAGCAATCATATATTCTCAAAAAGAACTAAGGGCGTGTTTTGTCTTTTTCAAATTTAGTGTTGGTTTGTAATTTTGTATGGAGTAAATGTTGTATACACAAAGTCTGTTGCTTTTGAATAAATGGCCATTTTACCCTTCCGTTTGGAAAATACACGCATATGAGTGAAATGACAATACTACCCTGATGCAAATGAATACATAGAAACAGAATTTGAGCCAATAGAAACTTTCTTCACATTGTCATGTGATGCAATTTTTGTTCATATGATATAATGTTGCCAAAAGCAAAAGAAAAACAGTAACCAGGAATAAGTTTGATAACTCACATGAGAAAGTCTAAAAGGACAAAATTTGGGCTTCCCTTTACGACCATATTTAAGTAACTGAGCGCCCTTCTTCAGAGCAATTAAGGTCTGCAAAAGGAAAGAGAGCATTTAAGAACAATGGAAACACTAGTTGCAATATCATGTAAACATATATATGGTATGTTTTGTAACTAAGACATATGCATAAGTTATTTGGTAGCTTATTAATGAGATGTATAATTTCATGGTGATTACTGATATATCAATTAGAGTCCAACATGATATACATAAGCACAGTTTCATGAGTGAGAGCCCTAGTTTTTTCCTTCCATTGTCATAAGGCTAACAGATAGCTATGATCCAATGTCATTGAGTAATCTCCCTAAAATTCAATTATTCTACCAGGAAATGTACAAAACCAAACACCCTAAGAGAAAACATCCAATTCCTCAACTGTAGCAATTGATTAAAAAAAACGCATATTTTGCTTAAATTACTCTTCATATATATTGACAGATTCATGGAGAAGAGTGATAATATATTTGGTCATGTCAAACCTAACAAGATCTCATATTTTCCGAGGGTAGGGCAGGTTATATATCATAGGGGAATCAAAAATACCTGCTCGGTGTCACGGTCTGCGTTACCGTAGCTAACAAGATCTGCCATTCCATGTGACAGATTCACCGGCCCACCACCAGACGTCACTGTAATCTCCGGTCATCATCAATGGCGAGCAGGCTTGGTCTTTCGTACACTACCATCAACCTTTCACTTCACATCTAAGTTCAAACCCTCAAAGCATACGAAATTCCCTTCACGTCGCTGTCAGAGAAACGAAAATCGTCCTTTCAAACCCTATAAATCGCCAACTCCGCCCACCAGATCTACAAACCGCGCCAATAATCCGTTTGAGTTGAACACCTTTGAGATATCTTGGAAGATTTCAACAGCCGTTTGACCTTGAACTATAAATGGGGGAAAGTATGATGCTTAACGCTTATCTGTTTTCAACCGGTGAAGAAAGGTATGACACTGACGCTGATTAGTGGCGGTTCCCGGCCGTCAAATTGGTAGATTGACGACGGAAGGCGACGAAATCGGAATGTGGTCCCGTCGGAGTAAGCGGAGTCAAAGAGAGAATTTCTGGCTGTTTGGCGGAGTAAATATAAGAACGCAATTCTGTTTTTCCAATTTATACTACTTGCTAATTATTCTGTCACTGTTATAATTTCTGATATATTATTATAATTTAAAGACAATCTTATTAAATAGTAACCTAACTTTATAACTATTTTATTTTCTTTAAGTAATCAAGAATTAATTTTGTGTTGTTATTATACAAGCTTTGATAATTGCTCCATCTAAACTATCTAAACTATTTAAATTACATTTTTACTTTGTAGTATTGTAGCCCTCATTTTCTTTTTAAGAATAATTGATATAATTAGCTGGATAGATAAGTTGAAAAGATTATTTGATCTTAGTTTCGAAAAATATTTGAATTCAAACAAAAAGCTTTCTTTAGTTAGATATTTTGAGTAATTATATAAATAGTCTTTTAAAATCTACTTAAAATCACTGTTGTAAAAATCCCGATTAATCCTTAGGCACTACTCGACCAATTAAAGGGCGCATAGCGATTAATCCCTACATACATAATGAGTGAAACAGTATAAAACAATGAAATTTTAACATTTTGAAGAATATCTATCTCAATGAAAACTATTTGAGGCATGATTAGTGTTGTATTAATCATATTAACCTATTTTGTTATAATATTAGTGGTATTTATGAACTTTGATATGATATTAGTCATATTTAAGTTTTTAAAAGTCAACAAATTAACAATTAATGATCCCCGATTAATCTCCGCCTAGCCGATTAATCGCTTAATCTCAATCCACCGACTAGCTAACGTCGAACGTTTTTTACAACATTGCTTAAAATTGGTTAAAATAGTAGGTTTTGTCTAATTTTCTCAAAATTACAAAGTTAGTTCCTCTTGGTTAACACAATCCATGACCAACTGTTAACTCAGTGAAAAATAACTAAATTTTATATCTATTTTTTTGTTATATTATTTACAAGTATAAAGGGCGCCCCAATGCACCCTACCACTACCATCTTGAAAATCAATACAAAAAAATAGAAAAATGCGTCCATTAACGTAAACATTTGTTTCTTCCATACCTCATTTAAATACACTTCAAAGTAGGACTATAAATGAACCGAACTTTCAGCTAACTGATAATGAACCGTTCGACGAAAAATTCGCTTATATTTATTTATTTAATAAATGAACGAACATGAATACATATTTTCGTTCGTTCAGTTAAGCGAACAAACACGAACAATGATCTTGTTCGTTCAATTATGTTCGTGAACGTTCGTTTATATTGTTTGTTTACATTTGTTTAAGTTCGTTCATATAAGTTCTTTTAACGTTCATATATGTTTAATTGTATTTGATTACATTAGTATACTATATATGTTCATTTATGTTCATATATGTTTGAATTATGTTTGTTTATCTTTGTTCATTTATGTTCGTTTTTTTAGCATGTTCACGAACATAAATGAACAGTGCAATATGTTAAACGAACGAACATAAACAAAAAAAACTCGTTCGTGTTCGTTAATTTGTTCGGCTGACTTAAACGAACGAATATGAATAAGTCTCGTTCATGTTCATTTGGTTCGTTTACAATCCTATTTCAAAGACACCTTACAAAACCCTACTAAACTTATCAAGAATATGGGTTCAAAAGCTCCAAACACATACATGACAAAGTATGCAACCAAACCTCCAAAATACATATTTTAAACACCATTTACACTTAAACATGAGACAATATTAATATAAACATGAAAAATGAAAAATATAGAGTCAAATCGAATTTACTCTTCAAAAGCTTGAAGATTGTAACCAAATAAAAATTTATAACTATGATTTTTTTTATTTTTTATTTATTTATTTATTTATTTATTATTATTATTATTTGCATTTTGAAGTTTTTAAACATGATGAAGGAGATAAGAGAAAAAAAGAGTTTCAAAGGAGTAACTTGAAACTTGAGAAGGATTATACGATAAGATAAGAAGGGAGGTGGATCGACTATGATAGGAGGAGAACGAGAAGGACAAGGTAATGATGAGAAGGACAAGGTAATGATGAGTTTAAGATGGTGGTTACAAGGATGTTGTGGTGCTTGATGATGGAGGCGGATGATGGTGGTGGCGGTTACTCTTCACATGGGGTGGGTGGGGGAAGGATGTCATGTTTAAGACTTTTAAGGTAGATATGCGAATAATATACAAATTGGGGCTAAATTTACGATTATGATGAAACTATATGGACCATTTTTGTGATTTACTTATATTTATATATATATATATATATATATATATATATATATATATATATATATTATATATATATATATATATATATTATATATATATATATATATATATATATATATATAGAATTGTATTTGGTATCATACATTTCACTAGACAATCTGAATTATTTTTAAAATAACTATGAAACTATCTCAAATAATTAAGTCTAGTAAAAAAAAGTTATTAACATCATTCACATCAAAATATTATGAAAAATAAATAAATGTTCCAAGTTTATTTATATACTAAAAATATAAACAGAAATTTATTCAATCAAATCCAAACTCAAATTATTTCATAAAACGGTTTTATAACATATTCAACAGGAAGATTTTGAGAGGCTAATAATATATAATTAAAACATGTCCAAAGTGAAGTTTTTTAAGAGGTTAATGATATGTAATGAAACTAATGTTCAAACTCGAATTACCTGCTAATAATATATAATCAAAACATATTCAACGTGAAGTTTTTTTTTTCTTTGAAAGGCTAATACTCTATATACTCTAGAATCAAATAAAACAAGCTTATATTATTGAAAAATTATTATGTTTATTATTTCGTCACACTACTATCAATCATTTAGATTGTACTAAATGATATTTGAAGTTTTAGGTGTCAAACCCCTTCAGTTAACAACTCTTTAATTATATTTAATTCAAATGTATTTATTATTTTCTCATCATTCAATTTGTTTAATTTTTATTTTTATTTTTATTTTTATTTTTAATATTAAATAATAAACTTTTAATAATTATAGAGTATTTTTATTAAGATTTTATAACTAATGCATGCAATAATTTTATTACTTTTTATATTTTCAAAGAAATAACCAGTAATTTTAATTTTCTAACTTTCTGTATTGTACTTTATTTATTTCATTAAATATTATTCTCAATTATTATTCATTTTCTTAAAACACATTAAACAAATTTAAAAAATAACAGAAACAACTATAGAGATTGGAAAATGTTTTTGATAACATGTTAACAAAATAGTTAATGAAAACTGATATACCAACACAAAGAAATAATATTGGTTAAGGTAACATTCCCTAATTACTATAATATTATTATTTTAGAATTTAGAATTAGAAAATATTTTTTTTTTACAATTAAAAAAAAAAAAAAAAAAAAAAAAAGGTATTATAATATCATATTTGAATCATTAAAACTTTGATTAACTAAGTAATAATCAATGAAGGGTAACGAGGATTATTAAGTACGGCGATCTTTCCTCGAAGCATGCGTGACAAAAAGAAAAGTGAAAATAAAAAAAGCGTTCTCGTTATCGGTAATCGGCTCAGAATTTTGGGATGACGAGCTACGAAGATTGTGTAGGTGAGCGACCAAGGTATTGGTATGAATGATGCATATGCGGGGCCCTTTTGTAATAAAATAAACTAAGTGGGGTGTATGTGTAAACTTCGAAGGGGAAGCTCACCAAACACTGTTCAATCACTCTCAATGCTTTTTCTTTTTAATTATATTTGTTAAATTTAAATTAAAAAATAACATTAGGGCTTGGTTCAATGTTAGCATAAAAGTGAAACCAGGCCATAATGCATTGGTCGGAGTTTTACAAAACTGTTTTTGAGTTTTGGTTGTTTTAGATCTGTTAGTTTAGTTGTTGTTTTTCTGCTTGTGTATGCTTTTTAGTAAAATAAACATGTATTTTGTTGAATATTAATTGAAAATTATTAAACATTATAACTAGACAGCATAGTTTAATGTATATTTGTGTTTGTTTAAAATCGAATCGGACCGAATATTTTGATTTCTTTTTAAAGAAATTTATAAAATACTGATTTTCAAAATTGTTTTACCTTTTAGTTATTTTCGATTTACGACTGTTTTTTTTTTTTTAAATAAAAAATGGATCTATTCAAGTGACTGAAAAATACATTTTGTAGCAATATAAATTAACAAGGATCATTTTGTTGGAAATTTTAGTATAAATATTAATATTTTTACTAACTTTGAACATAGATAAATGCTCTTATCTCACTGGTTCATATAGAAGACGAGTAATGCTCTTATCTTCAAGAAAACGAGGATTACATATATAAAACCGGTAGATGAAATTTAATTTGATCTCTTTAATTGGCTAAAACATAGAGCAAAGTTATTTAACATTGATTAGTATCTTCCAGTTACTTGAATAGATCCTTTAACTAAAGGCTCACCCTTTTGACAAAAACACTTGTGTATATTACGAATTACAAGAGCCCAAAGAGAATTTTCGTAAGTTTTGATGTGCCATCGCCATTGCATTAGCAACACAAGGTTAGATGTGCAAACACTCCCAACCACAAGTCGGCTAAGAATTGATGACATTACAATATTCGAGATAAAATTGTGTATAATAGTAACATGCTACAAATACGGATAATATATTTTTAGTTTTTACTTATAATAACAATGCATTTAGTTTATTTTACGCATAAGATTGTGTAGAATAATAGCGTACTTTGCACTTGCAACCAATATGGAGAATGTACTTTAGTTTTAACCGTTATAACAACATGCATTTTATTTTTATCCATGATAACTTTGTATATAATACCAACATACTTTTATTTATAATACCAACATACTTATATTTCGAATGTGTCTTATTTGTTACAAATTGCCATTATTAGTAAATAAATATAAGTTTGTTATGTTCAAGGAGTTATAAACATGTTGCTATTATATGTAAACAATGTAAAATTTTAAAGTTTCAACAAAAGAAGATCAATAAATGTGAAAAAGGATACATCACTATTGCACAAGGAAGTTTAGTTTA